TGATCCTCCAGTGAGTTTTCAGAGGCAGTAAATAACACAGGAGCAGACTGTTAATCTTTCTCCCATGGAGCAGCTGGTGGATTTGAACTGCATGCCTTTGGGCTTGCAGCACAGCTTCTTAACACTAGGCCACCAGAGCTCCCTGATGTCTAAAAACATTAGCTCCGGTGAATTTAGAATGTCTACATGAAAATTTTAAACAAATTAAAGGGAATATAATCCAAACATCTTGGACATTCCTCAGTCTACAATATCAAACTAAAATTCTAAGCTAACAGAAAGTAAAGCTATCATTAAATTAACACAAGATTTGTTTAGTTCCTATGAAATAACTGTGAAATAATGGTATTTCTAGAGTCAACAAAACTACAATGTAAACTATTCATGTTATAGTCAAGGTATTGATTTTATTAGTTATACTCTGATATCCACATTTTCAAACACAAAGTATGCATCAGATGATAGAAACATTTCATAATAAAACATTGCTGGTTACAAAACTAATCTACTTCCTAGCTCAATTTTAAATAGTACAGCTTAGGTCAAGTGTTTAAAATGGAATAAAAATTCACTGAAGGTAAACGATCAGCACTTTCCTAATTTAAATAAAGTCCTTAAAATTCTTCATTTGTTTTAAATATAGTTTCTTAAAATATACACTGCCAATGACTTGTGAAATGAAGTCACCAGGAGTTTAAATGATGATATGTTTCCTCATTCCTTTTTCCCTACCTGGGCATTTATTAAAGGTATATTGCTTGCTGAAACTGGGACGGTCCTGAAGTACATGCTGCAGAAGGTCAAGAACTGGAGCCTCAAATAAAACTGAGTTATGTTTAAAAAAAAAAAAAAAAAGAACTGGAGCCTTCAATATGGACTGAAGTTCAACATCAAGAAAACAAAGATCCTCACCACTGGGCAGATGGTAGAATCATGACAGACGGTGAAGAGATTGAGATTATTAACAGCTTTTAGTTTGCTTGGCTCCACAATCAACACTTGATACCAGGAGCCAAGAAATCAAAAGACAAATTGCAATGGGAAAGTCTGCTGTCAGGGACATCTCCAGAGTACTGAAGAACAATGATGTCAGTCTGGAGACCAAGGTGCACCTGATCCAGGCCATAGTTTTCACAAATACATGCTATTTATCAGAAAGATGGACAAGGACTAAGGATGATAGAATTGATGCCTTTGAGCTGTGGTACTGTGGTACCATGGACTGCTAAGAGAATAGCCAGATTCGTCCTTGAGGGTGAAACCAGGCTGCTCTAGGAGACAAGGATTCTGAAGCTCCGTCTGATATATACTTTGGGTATGATGCAAGAAGGACCAGTCCTTGGAGAGGAACATTATGCTTGGAAGGGTGGAGGGACAGCACAAGAGAGGAAGACCCTCAATGAGATGGATTGACTCAGTGACTGGAGTGAAGGGGTTGGGTGAGTCAGAGACAATAAGTTTGGCTCAGGACAGGACAGAGCAGGTTTCAGAGCTGTTGTACATAGGGTCACTATGAGTTACAGGCGACTTGACGGCACATAACAATAACTAGTACTAGCAATGACTGCAAAGTAAAAGCACTCAACAAAAAGTTTCAGAATTCTCAGAGATCCTGTTCTCCCCATCTATGTCAGCAAACCTCATCCAGGTCTGGAGCTGCAGCCTACAAATCGGCACTGAGCAGGCAGGTACTCAGAACGGTCACCTGACACCTCCTTTTGTTATGTTCCATTTCTACAACATTTTAAACTGCTTCCCATTCTTCCATCAGCAAGTCTTCTTTCATTCTGACTCCCAAGACTTTACTTGCCCATTTATCCATACAATTTTTACTTAATTTGGTAATAAAATAATCTTGACATTTACTCTTGAAAATGTGACCAAGTTCTCAGATAAGAGTGTGAGGTTTAATGTAGATGGAAGATACCTTCTGTCTTGGAGACTATCTACTTTAGGGTATGTGTGCATGTGTATGTAGAAACTGTCCAATTGGTATATGTTTTTCTGTGCATATTCCTAATAACAACAAAACTTATTTTAAAAAGAATCCACTTTAGTTTCCTAAACCATCACAAACTCTTTTAGGTATAAGTAATTTTCTTCAAAATTTTAGTATTAATTTTAATGTCTTGTGTACAAGTGTGCAGAGGCACATGCATGTATACAAACACACAAATGGAGAAAATCAAATTATAATTAATATGGATACTATTGCGTAGAATGAAGCTAAGAAGATAATTGGAAAAAGTAACAGGATAGTATTAAGTTATATTAAAAAAACTGTAAAAATGGTATGTGAGTGACTAAAAATTTGGAAACATTACTTCAGTACATAGAGAACTTCTTACTCTTCATCCAGCCTTCAAGTGGTCTCCAGTATCAAAAGGAAGCCAAGGAAAGAGTTGTTACTTTAAAAGCCAATCCCTAAGGCTAAGCGAGCTTCATATAGTTAACAATTAACTCAAGCTGGTATATTCACAACTCCTGGAATGAATGCAAAGTGAAGACATCACATTTGCAAATAACAATGTCTTTCTGATACAGAAATGCCAAAGCGACTGGGGAAAACTGCAAAATAATCTCATAGGATGATGTGAGTGGACAGAAAGGTGGTTCTAAGCTTTTTAAATCAACTAATTAAGCTCCTCAAAAGTAGATACTTTGCATTTTTTTTTCCTGTATCTTCCACAGAACACAGCATACTCTAGGCCTGTGACAGGCATTAAGTAAAATAAATGCTTTTATATTGCAATTAATGAACCCACAGTAATTGTGGATAATAATAACTAGAGACAGATTCAAAGAGGACCAGATGAAACTGCAAATGACAGCACCACTTGCAATTGCGATCTCTTGTTATTTCTATACAAAGATCAGAAAACTCTAGCCTGCACGTCTTTTCATTCTCTCCACAATCTCTGTATTAATTGCCCTGAATAGAAATCCATTCCTGCAACTACAACTGAGACACATTATTCATCGCACTTATAACACGCTGATGCCTGTTTCTTCACATCTTAGCATCTATTAAGACCTAGCTCAAACATCCCAGCTCAAATACCATCTTTTCAGAGAAGTCTTCCCTGATTGCCCCACAGGTGAGCAGTTCCTTCTCTACTATGCTCCCTCAATAGTCCTAACATCTTTATTACTCTAAATGGTATGACATCTGCCATCACTCTTTTATGTATCTTTTTCTATCTCTCCCACTAGTTGTGTCCTCCTCCACAGTGGGACCAGTATGTTATTCACTTCTGCATACTCAACTCCTACCACCAAACCAATGTTGTTGTTAGGTGCCACCGACTTCATTACAGTTCATAAAGACACTATCAACAACAGAACCAACAGGCGGTCAATATATGTACTCCTTCGTGTCACTGACCAGGGCAGAATACTGAGAAGAGTAAGCCACTAAATAGATCCAATGGTAGGTTTCTAATAATTTCAGGCTCTTTCAATTATCACCTCTAAATTCCATTGTTTCTGATGGCTGAGGAAGAGAGCAATAAGCAAAGTCATTATAAACTCTGTAGACAGCTTTCGTTCTCTACTATTTTCCCAATCCACAGAGGCCTCAAAACCTCAAAGCCCTTAGCAGCAGTGTTCCGTCTCAGCAGCTGTTAACTGCTGATTCACATCTTAATGGATGCATGTGCCTGTAACAATCGGAAGGGATGGTGATGGAGGAGCAGGGGTCATTCCTCTTCTCTCCTCCCAGGCCCAGAAGCAGAAGAGCAGGAGTCACAGAGAAGACACTGAAGCAAATTAAAGAAAGCTTACATGAGTCAGGGTGGTATCTTTGGTCACCACGAAAAACACCATCCTTAGTGTACACAGAGGTGGTACCAGAGAAGCCACTAGCTGTGAGCTATCATTTATTCAAAAGTAATGTTCTAAAATATTCTTCCTCTCACCTAAAATATAGAAGAAAAGTTTTCATTATTTAAACCTAAAAGAATAATCAATCAAAATGAAACACTGCCCTTCGTCATCTTTAAAAAAGGGGAAGGGGGAATTCTTTTTCAATTAGGTTTTACGCTGTTTTCGATAACCAAAGCTACACATACATATTTAAGCTTGGACCTCAACTACTTTAAAAAAAAAAAAAAAAAAAAAAAAAAAACAAAACCCGCAACTTCTAAAATAGCTTATGAACTTCCACAAATCAACAAAATAAATGCAACCAATCTGACAAAATATTTATGAAGTTATAATGTTCCAGGGCAGAAAAAGATACAATGTTAAGCCTTACCATTTTGTGTTCACCATTAGCAAACCTCAAAATTAAATACAAAAAAGCACAAAAGGTACATTTTAACTATGGCAGTCCAAATTTTCTTTTAACCCCAGTAATGGTAGCAATTACACTTTCCCCACAGTATCACAAGGCAACTAAGTATAAATGAGCAATGTCATCATATCCCACATAGGGTCCAGTGCCATTTTTACACTCAATAGTTTTACCCTGAGCAATACAGAGAGTCAAAAAGTCGTGTTTGGGGACGTCTGGCAAAAGTTGTTTAAGGACAACAATCCCTTAAATTACAATATGGATCTGCTGATCAGAAGGCTATATTTTAACACTCAAGCCAAAGCAAGGTGCTGAGGGCTTTATCGAATCACCCTTTAAAGAGAGAGAGCAAAACAACTCCTCAGAGGTCTTCAATGTTAGGCGCTGCTGGTCTCAGTTACAAGCCTAGTCCTGAACAAGACAAAAACTAGGAAGGCAGACACCTCGTCCAAAGTGGTCGTTCAGACTTCCTAGGAGAGAAAAAGAGAACCTATGAGACATCAAGATTGAGGATGTGTGTGTCTAAGCAGAGGAGAAAGGTTAAGGGATCGAAGATACTGGACAGTATAACATGGAGTATCAGTCCTGGGCATTAGTGGATGCAAAAAAAGGTACAAGAAAGGGAGAGACTGAGTTAGCCACATCAGGAGGGAGTTGGTGGGTGCCGCGCGCTTTGGAGAGGAGGCTGCAGTTGGGCTGTACCTACCCATCGAAGCGGACGGTGCCAGTCTGCTGAGTCTGCACCCGGTAATGTTCTAACAGCAAGCGCACCACCTTGGCGTGCCCATTGCGCGCTGCGATGATGAGGGGCGTGGAGCGCTGCCCTCCCTGCTGGCTAACATAGCCCAGCAGATAGCGGATATCGCTTTCAGACCGGTTGAGGAGCAAGGCGGCCAGAGTCAGCACCTTGCCCTCACTGGCCGCCTTGTATACATAGCCAGCCAGGCCCTCCATGGCCGCCGCCAACTCCAGCACCCGTTTGGTCGCCACCGCTGCTGCTGCCTTGCGCCCCCGGAGGCCGCGTTCGCCAGAGCTTCCAATCGGGGCCCTCACAGCCCATTCAACAGGGCGCCGCCGCCGCCGCCGCCGCCGCGCCCAGGCAGCAGCGCGGCCGAAGGAGGGCGGAGAGGCGGAGGCGGCCGGATGCCACGGGGGGCACGTCTGCCACCCGGCCCGGACAGGGAGGAGGGTGGTCAGGGCCGCCCCCAAGGCTCCAGGCCCCCGCCCAGGGCCCAGGAGAACTCCATGGCGGCCGCCGCCCCGGGCCTCAGGCCGGACCCCTCCTTCCCGAGGGCTGCGACAGGCGCGTGCCCGAGCTACGGGTCGCCGGCGGGATCCCGAGAGGATCGCGCGCGCCCCGGATGGTGAATGATGGGCGCGTCTCACCGGACCAGGCTGACCGGTCTCGGCCTAAAACTTCTTCCTGCCTTCGCTCTCCGCCCTCGCTAGACGGGAGGAAACCCGTAGGGGGTCGCCCACCAGAACGCGAAAGGGCTGGGCTCAGCCGATGGTTTGGGGGGGGGGGGGGGTCCACGCCTGCGGGACCTGGAGCAATGAGCAACGCTCAAGCAGCAGCAGCCCCGGAACTCCAGACGAGGAAGAAGACAAGCCTACGCCTCCAAGGAGGGGAGCGGGAGGGACGGTTAAGGGAGGTGTAGCTTCCAAAGCAGACCGGAGGGGAAACAGCACTTAAGGAAGAAGGGTTCTGGTGCGCGGAGTCGATCCATCAATAATTTGGGCCTGAATGTGCATCATCAGTGCCCTTGAGGCTTGAAGCCTTCCACACGACCCTGAGGATCCCTGCCTGGGGAGGAGACAGAGTTGGTGCGCTGAAGCAATTCTACCAGTGGCTAAGGAGCCCCTCTCCCATTTTACCATAGACAGTGCAGGACCCCTCTCTCCTCAAAAGAAATTTGTTGCAGTTCAAGTTTGAGGAAAGGGCAGGCGCCGTCTTGAGCTTCTGAAATATGAAGGGCATGAAGACTAGGATCTGAAAGTCAGACCTGCCCTTCCTGAAGACGGAGAAATACATGAAAGTTGGGAATCAAGAAAAGGTGCCAGAGCAGGAAGGAGAGTGAGTTCTGTGTTCGAACAGCACTGACCCACAGCCAAGATTTCTTTCCATACTTCACAAGGCTGTTAGAATTTTAAAAGATAATTTCTCCAGCAAATGCCAGAGGTTTACTGTGGCAGTGGAGTCTGGTTAAAACTTACTTGTTGCGATAGAGTCGGAACTGACTCAGCTGACCCTCCAGCATGTTTCAGAGGCTGTAAATCGCATTGCATTATGCAGATGGTACAACTTTGCTTGCTGAAATTGAGGAGGACCTGAAGCGCTAGTTGCAGAAGGCCAAGGACTGCAGCCTTCAGTGTGGATTGAAAAGCTCAACATCAAGAAAACAGAGAGTCTCACCACTGGGCCAATTGGCAGCATCACGATAGACGGCGAAGAGATTGCTTCAGTTTGCTTAGCTCCACAGTCAACATTCTTGGTACCAGCAGCCAAGAAATCAAAAGACAAATTGCATTGGGACTATCTGCTGTCAGGGACATCTTCAGAATACTGAAGAGGAACAATGTCAGTCTGGAGATAAGATGCACCTGATCCAGGCCATAGTTTGCCCAATTACTTGCTATGCATCAGAAAGCTGGACAATGACTAGGGATGACAGAAGGAGAATTGAGGCCCTTGAGCTGTGGTGCTGGAGAAGAGTATTGAATATACCATAGACCACTAGGAGAACAGACAGGTTCGTCCTGGAGAGGTTGAAACCAAGCTACTCCTTGGAGGCAAGGATTCTGAGGCTTTGTCTGACATACTTTGGACATGTTGCAAGAAGGAACCAGCCCTTGGAGAGGAATGTCATGTTTGGAAGAGTGGAGGGACAACACAAGAGATGAGATGGATTACTCAGTGACTGGGGTAATGGAGGTAGGTGTGTCAGAGATGATAAGATTGATTTAGGATAGAGCAGGATTCAGAGCCGTTGTACATATAAGGTCACTATGAGTCGCAAGTGACTCAGGGGCACATAACAGCAACAACAACAGATTGAATTTGGGAGCTTGCCCATCCATTCCCAAAAGAGCTAGCTGGTAGATTCGAACAAGAGAGGGTTTAAACAAGCAGCCCAAATGCTCTGCAGAATTTGCCACTAGAGCTCCAAAATAAAGTAAGAGGATCATGAGTAGGGTCAGGGAATAGCTAATTTTGTTTGGATAATAGGTGAAATTTTGTTGACAAATGACAAGACAGTATTTGAGGCAGAGGGGAAGATACGGTACAGAAGCCCTGAGGAGGGTATAGTCTTGGTGACCTTGGGACCAGAGAGCTTAGTATGAAAGTGACACATTCAGATGTGTGACCTGGAGGGCTTCCTCCTCAACTGAGTTCACATTCACACAGTTTACTGTATGAATGTTTTTCTCTTTTCCTCTCCCCTCGCCACGTGGGCAAAAGCTGTCAGCCATGAAGAAGCGCTGGCCTCCCTGGAAGAGACCCTCTCCTCAGGGCTTTTTGATGTGTTATGCCCAGCATCCTGCTTCTCCCATTGGCTACTTTAAAAAGGTGATTTAAAAGTTCAGACACAAGTGCAACAATGAATGAATGGAAACCCAAAATCTCTGTAAATGTTTATTAAAATTAATAAAATTTAATAAAAAAATTAATAAATTGGTGAAGAAAAGCAACCAAAAAAAATGTTCAGACACAGACACTTCCGTTTTCTTTTCTACTGCAGGCCTGATTCATCCACACATTCATTGCTGAGTAAAAAACTTCCCTCATCCTCTTCTTGCTTCCCTCCTCACCCCTACTCCATCCCTTCTTCTCCACTCTGACTCCCTTTTAGTGGTGTAACTGGGAAAGTCCTAGGAGGGATAGTTGGACCGTAAATCACACCAGAGAGGGACCTAGAGCCTGCAACTCTTCCCCAGATGGAAATCCATCTCTGCCCCAGCAGCCTAAGGCCAGGAGTTATTTCTGTGCATTTCACCCTAGATGTATTGCAGTTGCTTTGGGATATATATCCATTTATGGTCTTAGCTCATCCATCAAATCCAGCCTCCTCTACCCAGGTCTCCTATATACCTATAATTGAGGAGTCATAGAGCAAGTTAGTTCAATACTTGAACTCTGAAATCCATATGCTTGCTATATAACTGAGTAAATGACTTACTTAACCTCTCTACATCTGTGAAATGGAGATAATCATGTCTCGCTCAACTGCCCTCTATTAAGAAATCAGTAAGCATCAGCCATTATTATCACTATCTCACTAGATCTCCCCAAAACCTGTGGGAATAAACAAGGCAAGTAAGTTCTTGTTAACAGTGAAAATGAGTGTAAACTACATGATCTCTAAGGTCTCTTCTGGGTCCATCAGCTATGATTATACCATGAAAAAGAAAAAAAAAGACAATCTCAAGCCAAAATTTCTAGATGTCTGTGTGACTCACTTAAAGCGCTGATACATGACAGACTTTATTAAAAATTAAGATGGAAAAAAAAAGAACCATCACAAAAAAAAATCCCTTATGCCACTGAGTCAGAAGCAACTCATAGCTGAGCGGGTCACTCAGAGCTGTGGGGTTTCTGAGGCTGTAAATCGCATGAGAGGAGATTGCCCAAACTTTTAGGTGGGCAGCATAACTCCCTACTCACGAGGCCACCCAAGCTTCCTCTAGCATGAGTCATCATTATTTATGGTCTCAGTTTAGTTCTTCTGTTGTAGCTGTCTCCTCAAAGCCTGGTTCTTAGCAGAGAGACTTGCATGCAGGGGGGCTGTCTCACCAAGACAATGTGTTAGCAATGTGGCAACAACCTTGCCTCTTGGAGGCACTGGGAAGAACAAATAAGAAGAGTCCTATAAAGCATTTAGCACAGTGGTAATTAGTAAACTCTTAGTAATTAATAGCTACTGTTGTTTATCCCCACTTTATAGTGACATTCCCAAGCTGTTAAAAGAATAGACTCTGGAGCCAAGCTACCTGGGATCATCCTAGCACTGACCTGTGAGACACTGAACAAGTTCATTATTTGTCCTGTGTCTCAGATTCCTCATCTGTAGGATGTGCAGGATAGCAACCAGCCTCATAAAGTGAATATGTATACTAGATATGGTACTATAGGAATTGTACTCAGGACTCTCTTGAATATGTTCAGTGAATAGAAGTGATTATTTTATCATTTACAAATGAAGAGGCCCAGGCTCGGAAGACAGTATGGAGTTGGTAACCAAATCTCATTCTAGCACCTCAGTCCTACACTAGGATACGTCACTGCCTCGTACAGTCCATGGATAAGCCTCGTGTCTCCTCTCAGCTGTTCCCACCCATAAAGCATTTTCTCTGATGGCCATTTCAGGAGGAAAGTATGATGAGTCCTCCACACCAGAGCCCTCAGCAGATCACAACTGTTGTTTTTGTTAGGTGCCATCGAGTCAGTTTTGATTCACAGCAACCCTATCTTATTGCTGTTAGGGGCCTTCGAGTTGACTACTACTTAACAGGGACATGATGAGCAACAGATGAAAAATGTGCCGGAAAATCAAAAGGGCCGAACTCACTCAGCATATCTTAAGCTCAAGGAACTGAAGAACAAATTCAAACCTCGAGTTGCTATAATCAAGGATGCTTTCGGCAGAACGTTAAATGATCCCGGAAGTATTAAAAGAAGATGGAAGGAATATACTGAGTCACTGTATCGAAAAGAATAAGAAGACACAGAAGAATTTCATGAAACAACATATGAGCAAGAGCCTATGGTGATGAAAGAAGAAGTTCAGGCTGCTTTGAAGGACATGGCAAAAAATAAGGCTCCAGGAATAGATGGTATACCAATTGACATATTTCAGTTAACAGATGCTGCCCTGGATGTGCTCACCAAGTTGTGCCAAGAAATCTGGAGAACGACCACTTGGCCAACTGACTGGAAGAGATCGATATTTGTTCCTATCCCAAAGAAAGGCGACCCAACAGAATGTGGAAACTACAGAACAATTTCACTGATTTCACATGCAAGCAAGATTTTACTGAAGATTATCCGAAAACAACTGAACAGCACATCAACAGAGAACTACCAGAAGTCCAGGCTGGTTTCAGAAGGGGTCGTGGTACTAGAGATATTGTAGCTGATGTTAGATGGATCTTGGCTGAAAGCAGGGAATACCAGAGGAATGTCTATCTGTGCTTCATTGACTATGCAAAGGCATTTGACTGTGTAGATCATAACAAACTGTGACTGACTCTGAGAAGAATGGGAATCCCAGAACACTTGATCGTTCTAATGCGAAACTTATACTTGGACCAGGAGGCAGTCGTCAGAACAGAGCAAGGGAACACTGCATGGTTCAAAATTGGGAAGGGCGTACGCCAGGGATGCATCCTATCTCTATACCTTCTCAACCTATATGCAGAACAGATTATCCGGGAGGCTGGGCTCTATGAGGAGAAATGTGGGGCCAAGACTGGTGGACGATTTATCAACAATCTGTGTTATGCGGATGACACAACCCTGCTTGCTGAAACTGAGGAGGACCTGAAGCACCTGCTGCAGAGTGTCAAGGACTGCAGCCT